AACTCGTAAACTTACGTAGTTTTACAATGTAATACTCTGAAATATTACAAAAATCGTAAATCTATGGAATATTACGCTGCATTCAAATTCCAGATGGAATAGAATGAATCCTAAAACAAAATGATTACGTAAGTGCTTTCTAATATTAAATGCATATTTTCAAATTGTATATAAACTTCACTTAAAGAATGATAGACATTTCGATATATTTTAAAGTAATCATAATAAATATCAATGAATAACTTTAGAACCTGAAGATTGTTGTATTGTAATAGTGGTATACTGAAAGTTGAATATTCATACAGATGCATTGCATATAGTCAAGATTTACATTACGCAATTTTCAACGTCCATAATTTTTATATAAAATTTCTTTAATATAAAGGCTATTAATAATATTTGAATTGCGAGCAATTGTTATGTTAATTTTTTGAATTACTTAGTTCGTATCTACGATAATGCTGCTTTCTTCTAAATACTAATCTACCAATCTCAATTGCGATTCTTATATTTTTGAATAAATATTGCTGTGAAAATAGTTTGGTAATTTATTATATATATAAATCCTTTGTATTTTTATTCGAATTTCATTATTAATAGAAATAATTGATTGTATTCATCCAAGTCTTCGACTATTTTCTTCTCTATATATGATGAATTCATCAGGATGATAAAATCATTAAAAATTAGAATGAAATTTATTCATTAAAATCAATAAAACATACGAATAATAATTTATACATAATCAATAATACCTTAATTAATAATTATTTTATCTTGACCGAATAATGGTGATTCTACCCAAAGATTACTATGCCAATATTCTTTTTTGGCTTCAACATCAATTCCTGATCTGAAGTATAACATATCGTATAGTAATCGGTTATTTAGAATATTTCAGATGATATCAAAAATAGATAGATAATAACTGGTCTTGTTTTTTTAGATGTGAATGGGTCCTCTTTTGATTAATTTTAATATTGTGTGTCTTTATTGGTATTAATGGTAATTGATGTCTTCATTGCCGAAATCTTTTCACATTCTTTATGACATCTTTTACATTAAAAGCTGAATGTTGTAAAATTTCCACTAGATCATTATATGCACTTGTTGCTATAAAAATATAATATTTTTAATTAATGTAATAATAAATAGATTAAATTTAACAACTTTCACTTACATAATTTATGCTTTTGCATCTAGCAAAATAATAATGCAGAGGTCGTATTTTCAAAGTAAGATGTAAAGTTTCCATTATATTTGGCATTTGATCATAATCTATTGATTTGTTAACTATCGAATTTTCAAAATATTCATCTTCATACATGACTTTTTCTTCATCATTCTTGTTATGATCATCTTCTCCAAAATGATTTTCCACTGTATCATCTATTTTGTCCTCATCTGTATCATTATCATCATTGCGATCATACACATCCCCATCAATATTTTCCATTGTATTTTTATTTTATTCTTATATGTATTGTTATCATCCTCATTATTATCACTACCATGATCATAATTCTCATTATCTTTATTCTTATTATTTTCTATTATAAATATAAAGGTATTCAATATATAAATTAAAATTATCTTTAAATTCTTTAAGACCAATTAGGACTTATTAGGATTTTTACCAACAAGTAAATATTTCAGTAATAATTACAAAGAGGAAGTATTATATTTATAAATACAAGAAAATTCATTTTTTTAATCTAAATATTAACTTTAAATATTCTAATAAATATTTGCATTCAATAAAATTAAATATTTTCGTGAAGAAAGTTTTAAGAAATTCACAAATGCATTTTATACTAAAAAAATTTTTTATTTTTTCCTACCACAGAAATTGTTTCTACTCAATTTCTAATTTCAATACCCTTCTACATTTTGATTCTTTTTTCTTGTAATAAAATAAGAAATTTGCTTTCTGTTATATAAAACTATAGCCAGAATTAGCTACTACAAAATTCTGAAAAAAATTATATAAATGATAAAATAAACACACTCATATCCTTAAAATAATATCTTGAGAATTATTATTAATAATAAAATTTTGTACTGATGTATTTGCAATTCACATATTCTTGAAGGTTCAATGATGTATATACATTTAAGTTATTTTAAGGTTTAATACTTTTTTTTTAAAAAAAAGACAGATTTAAACCCAAATGAAAGATATTAAAATCTACTATATCTTTTGAGAACAGAAACTATCAAAGTTAAAATGTAATAAAGAAATTAAGTAATCTGAAAATGATTATTTCCATATAAAAAGAAAAAAAATGAAAGAAAATGAACTTCAAAGTTATTTTATACTTTTGGGATTATATAAATATGTTGATACTAATAAAAGGTTTATTTTACACTTTTTTAAGTTATGTAAAACTACGCATCTTATAATATTTCATAGATCTATGAACTACACATTATAACTCAGTAGCTCAAATTATTTTTATTTTAGAGCTAATGATAACCTTTTATTTAATTAGTCCAAAAGAATAAGTTTCTAATAATAAATAAAAAAATTAGTTGCTTTTGTGAAAAATAATAGCCTTACTGTAAAAAAGCATGACTCTAAAGTTTTTATCACTAATAGTTTATCGTTCACCATTAACAAGTTAGCATATTCAAAGACTTATTGAGATTATACATTTTCCATAAATTTTGCGAATTGCATAAAAATGATTTTTAAAATTTTAAGTAAAACTTTCTTGAATGTTTACAAAAAAAATATTCAAGTGTTTTTGTTATTTGATAGTTATTAAAAATTCCCTACTTAGCAAAATAAATTGTTTTGAAAATTTTATTTACCAACCTGAATTATAGAAAATTTTATATTTTCAAATGGAAAGATAAATGCTGCGTATTTATAAAAATAGACAATATCATAGTTCTAAATAATTGTTTGCTTTTCAAGTTTATGCTAACCATATTATTATCATTGGGAAAGATATTGCGGATTGTTTTTACTGGACTGCTACTGTTATGTGTTTATTTTAGACTCTATTACTTGTGTATTATAGTTTCTTCAAAATAATGTCAAAAAAATCCAAAGATTATGTAGAACGCATTGAATGATAAAACTGTATTTGTATGAGTATGCAAGTGCGTATATTGCATATTTTGTATTTTATATAAAACTTATACAAAATCTATTTTTCATTTAGATTTACCAGCGGTACAAAAACTTATCGTTGGACATGATGTCTATATTAATGCATTTAGGCAAAGACAAAAAAAGAAATAAAAAGGACGCATCATAAATGTAGATGCATTTCTGTCATCAGCAAATCTAATACCAACACAATCTAATGAATCACCAAGAGAAGAGTAATCCTAACCCTCTATCAAATCCTTGTAAACAACTAATTTCTCAAAGAAGCTTTTTGTTGATTTAAATTTCTATCTTCTTAAAGATCAATTATTTGAATTAATTCTCTTTTTGGTCCTGTAATTAAAGGATCTTGTTATTTTTTTTCTTAAATGTAATCAAAGTAATCATTTTCATGCTGAAAGTTCTAGAACATTTAGCTTTCTTTGAATAGCACTTTATGATGATAGCCAGAATCTTAACCTATTGTTAAGTTTTAAAGCAAAAATTCGTAAAAGTAAAATTGGATCATATAAACAGAAAATCAAGCATTGATTCTTATCTTTATATTCTGTATCTATATGTCTCAAGAATGATCAAATTCACTAAGTTTACTGCACTAATAAGATCGTATGCCAGCGATGAGAATTAGGGATTTTTTGATATGCGAAAAGGTTCAAGAATGTAAATTTTCATTTTTGATTTTGAACTCTTATAAAACTGGAATATTAGATTAACATTCCTTTAAAATTGATTGATTTATTTTGTTTTTTGTAGGATAACGGTAAGTATTAAAAATATTGATAAATTAATTTTAGTTATTTTGTTATAGTTTTATTTTTATGAAGCGGATAAAAGAATCAACTAGCGAAACTTTTATATGTTTATAGCTACACCTGACCTGTCAAATGGAAATTAGATATAACTATATAGATTATTTGCTACCTTCAGGTTAATTTAATAAAATGAGTCAGTATTTGTGGAAAAAATATACTATATTTATTGCTAAAAGAATTATTATGTCACTTTTGACTCGAGAGTTAAAGCATTTGAAGGCAATTAGTATTAATTATTTGCTTACAGCTAATTTCATAATTCGTGGACCACTAATAAATTGCGACTGAATGCGACTGAAAATATTTTATAATAAAATTACTATAAAATATTGCGACTGAATGTGACTGAAAAATTATTAATGGTTCATGAATTATAAAGTTAGCTGTAAATTTAGATAATGAAAGTTTCATAATTAATAAACTGACTTATCTCTTTCTATTTGTATATAAAAATGAATTCATCACCTGTGATTTATTAATTAACGCATGATGAATCATATGATAATAGAGAGTAATTATACAAAATATATTTTTCGGTTATGTAAAATTTATTTATCTCATCAGAATTTTAAATTTTAAATTAATTTAGTCGGGATTATTATTTATTCATTAACATGTCATGTTATTAGAATCGATGATCAGAATTGATTAATAGTAAAAAGTAAATGAATGTGTTGTTCAACAATAGAATATAATTTAAATGTAAAGGGCAAGCGTCAAGAAATTACACCCTACAAGTTACATAGTTTTCATTTATCAAACGCTAACGCAATGTTTATGATGCAATTTTTACTTTGTATTAAATATTTTATTATTAATTGTTAATTCTAACATATACTTATCAAATGATTAATTAATCAAATGAGAAAATCTGGTTGAAGTAATTTTCTTAGCGTTTGGCATTTGATAACCTAATTAGATTTGATTTAATTTTTATATAAACTTACCTTTTGTTCAAAATAATTTAAATACTTTTTAAAAATGAAACATCAATATAAAGTCGACCATAAGAAAATATAATATATGTATTTTTAAAATATTTAAAAATAAAGAAATAATTTCATTTTTATTTAGAGAAAGTTCAATATCGACCAGATTCCTCAAAATAACTTCACACCTACTAGACATGGAGTAATTAAAGAATTAAGTCCAAATTTAAAGTATATCGTTGAAACCGAAGGAAAAAGAAGAGGTATATAATATTGTAATTTAACTCATTATTGTAAATTAATTTGCTCATTTTACAAAATATATTATCTAGAAATTCATCAAGATCAAATTATTGGACTCTCTCCACCCGCATAACTTTTATTTATTTATATTTTTATTTTATTTTGATATACTTTTTATTAAATAAATAAATAAATAAATTTTTACTTGAAATAAATACTAGTTAAAAGATTTATACGAAAATTGTTCTAATTTCTACACAAGAAATTCAAAGAATATCGTACGCTTACAAAATGGAATATATTATCGGATTATTCATCTTATAATCTAAACATTTATTATTATTGTCGACCCTCAAGTTTTTTTTTAGTAAATAATCAATTATATTTGTGTATATTTTTGAATAGTAAATTATCGATAAATTATTTAATAAATGAAAGTGTAATTAAATTACACAATTTATTTAACTTTGTAAAAAAAAAAAGCTTTCATTTTTAATTAAATGTTTTAATATCTTCTCATTAAACCCAGCATGCATCTATGGTACAAAATTTAACAAATTACCTTGCTGATCATTTCTTAATTTAATCAACCAAAAAACAGGATTTTTCCATAACGAGTATGTTTATCTAGGCTAAATTTTAATGTTTCACAAATAATCCTCAGTCATTCGTCTAAAATCAAAAAATGAATACAAAAAAAAGGAGCTACTGCTTTTGACCACCCTATAGAGATGTTCATCATTTAGAGATGGTTTTTATAGAATATAGATAGACTAACCTTTAGGTAAGAAAAGATAATTTAATTTTTCCACTTGCATGACCAACGTTATTATAGGTGAGTTGGAGAAACCTCTTATTACTGAACCCCAATAGAAAAAATAACATTTATGGGAAAATGGGGGATAACGTTATTTAGAAGATGAATTTAGATTCGAACAATTTCACAGATGGGAGATGTATTTATGGAGAAAAAATATTTAGACTATCTTATTCAAACATTAAATTCAGGGCAAGGGAGTGTTATAAGTATGGGGTGTTTTACGAAAGGTAATTAGGTAACCAGGACAATTCGATTTTTTTTCTTTCGTATAAACAACAAATTTATATCTAATCAGAGCGTAGGGAATAATAATTTTTATAAATAAATCGAACTTAATCATAAAGATTTCAATGATTATTAAACGACGGGTTCTACGATCATGCACCTACAAAATTACTCATTCTGAAATATTTTAGGTTGAAAATGAAAATGAAATAATATATAAATGAGTGGGTTGTATTTCAACACCTTTAGATTTAAATAAAAATGAAGAATTAAAGGATTCATCATTAACAAAATTAGCAGGACGTCTCGAAAATTCAGGTCGCGTATATCAGGAATTGCTAACGGAAATTTAGTAAGAAATCACGAGATTCGTGTGACTTTACACTCTAAATTTTAAAATTAAGCGGAATCTTTAAATTTTTATTTTCATTGGTAAATTACAAATTTGATAGTATTAACTGTTTATTCTCTATTTCTTCAAAAGTTTTTTTTATTTTAAAAACATAAGCAGACGTAAACAATTATAACATTAATTTACTTCATCGCACTAAATTTAATGTTGGAAAGATTTAAGTTTGATTATATATATATGTCATCAATTCAATTAAATCATTATGCGGTTTTCTCCATTTTAATCAATACTTAAGTTGTTATTAATAGAGTACGTTTTGTAACTTGCGATTTATTCTCCCAAAGCAAATTATTTTTGTAAAATAGTTAAAAAAAACCTGAATAACTAAAGGGGGGTTTTTTTTTCAGCTATTAAATTCTCTGTGAAATTAAAAAGTATTGTTATCACTGATTTATATTATGTTGCATTTTATCCAATAAATTGTCATATTCAAAAATGTTCGAAAATATGATGCCAAATTTGGAAATCTTTTAGTAAAATGATTGTATATGCCGATCGTCATGTGAATATTCGGTAATGACATAACAGATATAGTGTTGGTTTGGCACATTTTTTAATTTTAAATAATTTGGACAAGGCTTTGGAAATATTAAATTGTATCCAATTGTCCAACACTGTTTATGTGACCAACTTAATATTGTATGAAATAACTATTGTTGCAAGCTAGCTATAAATACTATATTGGTTTTGCATTTGTATTTGTATATCATCACTAAATAATAATACATTGATTTTTTAAAAAAAAAATTTTTTATAGTTTAATCGTGAACATCATCGGGGATCCACGAGAATTAATTGATATAATGCGAGAACACAATATTTTGGCATTTAGTTTATCGGGATTACAACGTGAATAAGGTTGATTGGAAACCCCCGAGATCTCGAAATTTGGCAAAATAGAAACTAGTTTCGACGGTTTGCCATTTTTTTTTTTATGGAATTCGCGAAGGATACATATTCATCAAAACCTTATATAATAAAATAAGATTTCAATTTCCTTCAAAATAGAGACCCTTTCGGGTACATTTTAACACAAACTGTTGGAAATCCTTATTTAGGCCAAGGATATTTTTGTAAATTTTCTTAAATGTGGAATTATCTGCCTATTAAACCCGTTAACTATTTGTTAAAGTGAAATCGTGAATCACAAATCGTCAAAATTATAAATTCGTCGAAAGTCTTCGATCAGTTTTTGTTACTCATGATTGATAACTAGTCGCTAATTGATTAACACAACTAATGATTTAAAAGTAATTGTATCAAAAGCTCATTTTATCATTTGATTAAGGTTACAAATAAATTTGTTTGTTAATAATGTTGTTTTATTTCCCAAATATCAATTGATTCTAATTTTCTTAGTGGCGTTGATTGTGAATATTATAAAAGGTAAGCAAAGACGTGATACAGTATGTAAATTACGATCAATGACATTATGTCATAACATGATCGCAAATTTTTCAAGCCTTTTACTGTAGTTAAAGAAATCTTATGTAATCGTTTTAAGTAAGAGTACAACGTAAATTTAATTTTAATTTCTACCTTTTTATTTAGATGGAATTGATGGAATTAATTGATCTGCATCTGTTTTTATATTATGTTTTGAAATTAGTGACAAAAATATATATGCAGTGCTACAATATGTTCTTAGTTGGTCAATATCCAATTAAATTAACGGTTCCCGTAATAAAAGTTTTCATTTTAATCTTTTTTTTATAAAAAAAAAAATTAGACGATAACGGCTCTTATCGATATAAAAAATAACTTGGCAAGCTATTTATGTCTAAGTCAATGATAAACAAATAATTTTCTATAAACTCTGGTCGAAAAAGTAGTGATGTAATGTGATAATTTTAAGTATCGGCGTCATATTTCATTCTTATAGGTAAGCTTCATTATTAAATGAGACAATTCCGTCGATTTAATCGATATTACAAGTACCTTTAAAATACAAAAATTTGAAATTTGGTATAATAAGAGCTGTTAATAATTAAAAGAAAGATTATTGTAATCTGATCATCTTAACATATCGACAAGGTTTTTTCCGATAGCCTATCATTTATACCTTTTAACGGTATATATTCTTATGCGATTTATCTATATCAAACAGAATCAGATAAAGGAATAACCGCAAAAAAATAAAGGAGATCATACCTTTATTTTCTAGACACAACACTAATATGAATATGTTTCTCTGAGTCGACCAGGTTAAGTTAAATCAAAGATAATCTTTTGTTCTTAAATAAGAAAATGAATTCATAATTGCCTTGAATAACAATATCAGTGTATTTTACTATTGTACTCAATGATTCACATATTGACACATCCCAAAAAATTAGTTTTTTGTTTTTTTAAAGAATTATCTTTTAACAAAAAAAAAAATGAATACAAGATTTAACTAGTTTAAATAATCAGTAAATCCAGAGAACTGCGACCGTGTAAAATCAAAATTTTATTTCTCACTTTTTTTTAATTAAAAAATTAAATCATAGATAATTATATAGCAAATTAAAGATTTTTAATAAAAATGAAATAGAAACACATTAATTAAAAATTTGAGACGTATAAAATGACATACAAAATTGTGATATGTACATTGTATTGGCTCCGATGAATTTAAAAAAAAATAATCGTAAAGGACGATAAACAGTATCTTCAATCTCTGATTTTTTTAGAATACTAATTATTTGAATATTTCAACAATTGCAACACAATGTGTACTACCATGTCCATCAGGACACAATACTTTAATGCCAATGATCAAAGAGAGTATCTCATATATCTGATACTGGAGATGTTCCTAAGTTTATTAGTAATAAGGAAGCAAAAATGTTGGTTAGTCCAAATTATCTAAAGCCTTTTTCGAAAATAGAAAAAAAAAATTTTTACTTAAGATATATAAAATCCTTCATCGTTTTGTTCTAATACATAATAAACTCGTTAGTACAGAAGCAAGCTTAACAATAACGAGCGCAGCGAGTTCGCGCAAACCCTAAGTGTTACCATATGATGATATAGTATTTACCGTTTATGTGTTAAATATAAAGTTTGTGAACATGTAAAAAAAATCTAAATTATTTTAATCGAAAAAAACGTTCGATTCGCGAGTAAACATAAAGCATTTATTATATCAAAAAAAGTTATGTATCATAAGCGAGAAAAGTTAGAACGTAAAATAGAAAGATCAAAACGAAAATTATTGAAAAGCATAAATCACCGATACGATAATTAGCCGATTACTATATGAATCTTGACACAACTTTAATAGAAAAGCCATGTTTAACTGTGGGTTTGAAAGGAAATGATCGAAAACCGTGCGCAAAGCAGAATAAGCGTAGCATCTAACGACCCATCGCCACCATGGAATTCCTAACGGTGAAGTGGAAATAATATGGGTGGTGTGCTATTAAAATTAAGGTTCGGATCATATGGTTTACTATGACTCGTGCCTCAATTTTACCCATATACTTAGGAAAATAACGTAAATTCGACATCTAATTATGTAATTATGTAGTTACATTATTTCAACGATCGTAAAATAAATAGTAAATCGTTGATTTTGATTTTCGCATCATTAATGTAATTAATTAAATAAAATATAGTTTCACTTCCAATAATAAATAAATAATAATAAAGTAAAAAAATAAACCGTAAAACGCCATCTACCCTTTAATTGATTGATAATAAGAATGTTTGCAGAGCCAGGCCAGGTTATTTGACCGACTCGAATTTTAATTTAATTTAGTCGGGACTATCATTTATTTAAAGTTATTAGAATCTATGTTGAGAACTGATTAATAATAAAAAGATAATGAATACATTGTTCAACAATAGAATATAATTCAAATGTAAAAGTCAATCGCCAATTTATCAAACGCCCCAACGCAATTTTTTATGATGCATCCTTATCAATCAATTTATCAATCAATCTTGTTGATGTAATTTTCTTGGCGTTTGGCGCTTGAAAATCGAACATTTTTCTCATTAGATAAATACACCTTCTTTTGTTCATGAAAATTTAAATACTTTTTAAAAATGGTACATCAATATAAAGTTACCCGTAAGAAAATATATATAATATTTTTTAAAATATTTAAATATAAATATGATAATTAATTTTATTTTTATTTAGAGAAAGTTCAATATCGACCAGATCCTCAAAATAACTCCGCACCTACTAGACATGGAGTAATTAAAGAATTAAGACCAAATTTAAAGTATATCGTCGAAACCGATGGACAAAAAAGAGGTATATATTATTGGAATTTAACTCATTATTCTAAAATAATTTGCTCATTTTACAAAATATATTATCTAGAAATTCATCAAGATCAAATTGCTGGACCCTCTCCACCCGCATAATTTTATTTATTTATATTTTTATTTTATTTTAATATACTTTTTATTAAATAAATAAATTTTTACGAGAATTAAGTTTTAATAGATTATTTTATATTGATTGACAAAGTGATATTAAAGTAAAAAAAATATAATCTATATAAACACTAGTCATACGATTTGTACGAAACATTGTTTAATTTTTACACAAGAAGTAATTCAAAGAATATCGTACATATCGTACGTTTACAAATGTAATTCATTACCGGAGTATTCATCGTATTCATCTTATAATCAAAGCATTTTTATTAATTGTCGACCCTCAAGTTTATTAAGAAAAAAATCTTTTATATTTGTGTACATTTTTGAATAGTCATCGTGAAATTATTTAGTAAATGAAAGTATAATTAAATTACACAGACA